CTCACAACTCAGAAACCATGACTGACAATGACTGATGTGAAAGATGATAAACAAGAGTGCCTCACCAGAACTATTGAACTGCTGACAAACAAAGGAATGTTCTGAGTAGTAGAGACAGAAGTTGCACAGGAGCTAGACCTAGTCAATCTCTTCAGCAAGAGATAAGAATGACCACAGATGAACCCTTTCAGAACTTACAGCAAAATTCATTTCTTCAGCCTAGCTATCCCTCAATCATTTCTTCACACACAGACATAGATAGACAATACACATGAACACATATATTTTTAAAATGCTTTGGAGGTGCTCAGATACTAGAGTGATGTGGGCAATATAAGTACATATTATTTGATTAGCATAAGGCATAATGAGTATGAATTTTCATATGTCTTTAATAACATGCATAACTATATATTTGCATGTGCAAATGGAAGATTTGTGGGAGCACATGCATTTTTGCAAGTGCATCCACAATGCGGAAAAATACAATTCATAGCACTGAAGTTATCATCTTTTAATTCAATTTTTAGCTTGTTTTAACAAGAACTTAACCTGTACAATAGCTAGTCATTATTAACTGGTTGTAGTTACATACCCCTCTTCTTAGTTGTTTTTGCCAAAGAGGTCACAAAGTGATGGAACTTATAAATAGAATATAAATATGTACAAAACAACAGACTATATTTTTGCACCCATGCACAATTCCAATATTTCATCAATCGATCTTTTTTTTTTCCATTTGTGAAAATTACTTATATTGTGAATTGGAAAAAACAAAGAAAATGAGAATTTTGAAACAAGAATAAACTAGAATGAATTGCATTTGAAAATCTGGGAAAGTCAGGAGAACATGCAACGTATTTTCCCTTGATAAAATTCTGTGAAGCACAAAAGTACTCTTGAGACATATGTATATCCTTCTGCTGACTGACAGCCTTAAGGACAGTACATGTGAAAAAGATGTTTTTAAGGTAATTTTTTTTTATTTTAACTGAATAGCAGAGAAACCTGTGATATCTGAAGCATGTGTAAAGCGACAGTGTAGACTACACTATTTTTCTCTATTTCATGGATATTTCCACGTTCTGCCCTCTTGCTGTCTCTGTTCAAGGTTTCGAACCACTATCAAGGAGAAATTAGATGCACAAAGGCACAGGACTTTGAAGAATCACAAAAAACACTGATGTGTGAAACAGGAACTCATAGAAATGTGAAGGAATTTTATTATCCATTAATCATATCTACCCACAGGCAACCAAAAATACCCACATAGCTGCTATAACCCCTCCAGAAGACTATATATACACATGAGGATTATGAAACTGTGAATCAGTATTTTCACACAGTAATGTCACAGTTTCATAGAGTTTAAGGCAAGAGGGGAACATTAGATCATCTAGTCTGACCTCTTGTATAACCAGGCCATTACATTTCACCCAGTAACCCCTGAATGGAGGCCAATAATTTGTGTCTGGCTGAAGCATTTCAGCCCACACAACGAAAACTGTTGTGCACTACAGGCAGACAACAGGAGAGACCAAAGTACCACCAATGACCAATGGTGTCACCAATGGCAGGGAATTGCTTAGGTGAGTTATACCCAGAGAATCCTAGCGAGCAAACTACGCTCCATGCAACAGAAGATGGCAAAAATATATATATAGTTTCCTGCCTATTTATCAAGGTCGCACTCGCCTTTACAAGTGCCATCACCTGAACACAATTGTGTTTCCACAAAACATGTTGCTGCAAAACATAGCACTGTTGCTATCTGAGTTACATGAAAATGAAAAATAATTCAGAACTTTATCAGTTCTTGTAATAGGCATTGAGATTTTGGAGAAGAGTTTCAGTGGGTGGAGGCTATCTCATCTGAACTGCTGCACCCATCTACAATCAAAATCCCCATCCTATCTACAGTTCTGCAAAGACCCATTTGCTTGGAAGTATGTGTGTCCTTATATAACTAAAACACACATAGACAGGAAGAGGACCCACCAGATATGACTTTGAAGGAATGAGCAGAGAGTTGGGATAAGAACCAGATGTGGAAGGTGGTATGAAAGCTAAGAGAGGACAAATTTTCAACAAGCAGGTTATTATTTACTGTACCAAAAGCAGCCACAAGACCAAGTACAGATGGGGTATAGGCCATGGAATTTAGCCATAGAGAGACTATTGGAGACTTTGGTGTGCAGAGGATGGGTGCTAGTTTGGAGGGGATTCATGATGGAGTCAGAAGTGAGAAATTCAAGCCATCAGTTTAGATGACACACTTGTTATGTTTGGAGACAAAGGCGGAAAAGGTAAATAGAGCAGTAGTTGGATAGGTGGGTGAGGTCAAGTGTTTCTCAAGACAGGAGTGATGAGAACACACTGTGAGGGGAAGAAAGTAAGAGATTAAGGAGGAGAGTCGAGGAGTGAGAACAGAGACAAGGAAAGTCATGAAGTGGAAGAGAATGGGGATTATTAGCATTGGTAACGGTGTCGGGAAGAGATTGGTGTGGAGAGGAAGAAGGAGGTGGCAGATCATGGCGGATCTTTCAGAAAAATGCTTCAAAAATTAGTCAGGGATTATTTATCTTTGTTGTGCACTCATTAAAGTCTTCAAATAGAGTCTATAGTTGATTAAAGGATGTCATTGTTCCATTCCTGTTAGAAGCAACTTTTTGATGTTTATATATTAGAAAGACTTTGCTGAATTGAAAACTCCTTTGTAGAATTCTGGATTAGCCACTGTATAGTAACAGCAATGATGGCATCCACTAAACTCTATTTTTACAACCAAATCAAATACAAATTGAGTGTAAATGGGTTTTGCCTATATACATTCCAGCATTTGTATGCACAAATGATAGAGTGCAAAAACTGTACATTGAGTGATTTTTGTGTACAGAAACAGAAGCTGAGTCAAGGATCCTTTGAAACTTTGTCCCATAATTGTCTCCTGTTCTCAGTCTGTCTAGCATTAGAAAGTTCTCTTCATGGTTATTTGATCAACTCATTGCAGTTGGCATTGCTAATTAGAGCATTTTATAATGCCCAAAAGAGACAAGCAGAGAAGCTCTTATACATATTCAAACAAAGAAACAGAATATTAAATCTTAGTAATTCTAGAAATTACATTTATAATTTGGAAAAACTCTTCAGATCATGAGTTGGCTTTTTTGCACCATCCAGCCTCAAAGTGAAAAGATAAAAGCAAATGGTTAAGAAACGAACAGAAAAGGTTTTTGAGGTTCTAACCAAAACGGGGCTACAAAAGGTCTCAGAACAGTTTTTTTCTGCTGGTGGTACTTCTTCAGTTCACCAGTCACATGATTCACACATTGGTTCATGTTTTTTTCCAGAAATAGAATCAATAGAGAACAGACAAACCCACAGTTGCCAGTTTGTACAGTCTTGTGGTTTTTGTCTGGGGCTCCAGCCTTGCACAGGTCTACCAGATAATGAAGACAAACTATTTCAGTTCCTGTGTGTCCATATGCTCTTCTGCTGGGTTCTACTTATCAAATAAAAGTACAGCAAAATAAGTGGTGGTTGAAACTGTCTAGCTAAAGTCTACATTTAAAAAAGACATTGTTTAAAAACTACCCTCACATTCTCAGCAATAGTTTCTTTGCAATGTATTCCATAAATCACTCATAATTTATGTTAAAAGCCTTTTAACAGAAAATCAATATGTTTAGGCAGTTATGAAAGCATATCATGCCACAGCATTAAGTGCATAGAGCAGCAAACGTGCTCTGAGTCCTTTGCATTTATGACATGAATTTGAACACTAAATGCTACTCTGACTCAAGTCTCTTCTAAGAAAGCCCTCAGCCTTAGCACAACATTTTCTCATATCCATTTTCTCATATTCCACTCCCCCAAATGCGTGCAGAACCTCTACTGACATTAGTGAGAGATTTGTGTAAGCAGGCATCAGTATATGAGAGTCAAGTTCAGCTGTATGGATCTGAGAGGAAACTTTTGCCCTAATAAAACTAAAATGGGGGTGGGGTGGGGTGGGGTGGGGGTGGAAGGCCTGAGTTATAGTGAGACCTAATAACATAAACCCATAGAGAAAGCAAAATCAGTTCTGCTAAAGATTAATAAGAATTAAAACCTTGAAATATCTGTAGGAAAAGCTTACACACCAGAGTTTTTCAGTGACTCTCTGAAACTGCTGGAAAAATAACAGGCTGGAGTTTTATCAAGCTTACCCCAAAACAGGGAAAATATCTTTCTTGGGGGAAAAAAGTTACCATGGAAAAATTTTGACCGGCTTTAGTATCATGTATTGTTTAATAAGTATCCAACAACACTGCAAATGATGAGGTATAAAGGGAGCATGGAAGAGAAATTACAAGCATTTTGTTTTTTAGGTGAATGGGCTATGATGTGGCTTTCAGCTGTTCATCCAAGAGAACATCCTCCTAGTGATCTCTCTTTGCATCAGGTTGAAATATGCTACTGACTTAAAATCATTTCGGTATTCTTATTGCAGGCACAAAATTATTCATGAGCAGGTAGAGAAGGAGCAGAGTGAAAAGCATTTGGTATGTTTATAGCCTCACCACCCTCTCTTCCTGCATATGTTGTAAATGGTCGAATACAAACAGCGTTTGAGTCTTTACAAACTTAGGTATATTTTACCACGAGGACTGTTCCAGCAAAACGTAAGTTCAGTAGAGGGATGTCTTTATGTTCATTTATGGACTGCAAAGAGGCTAAAACAAATACGGAATCAGCCACCTTCAAAACTGTATGTTCTTGAATTTTTTAAGGGCCCACTCCTGAATGATGCCGAGCACTCAAAATACCCATTGACTTCAGTGGAAGTTGAGGGTGCTCAGTACCTCACAGGATTGGACTCTATTGGCTGTCTGGTAAAATTCTAATAGTTCGTAATATGGATGCAGAAATTAGTACACATACATTGTATTGTATATTGAATTATTGTGAAAACTGAGATTAGAAAAGGATAAATTGATTCAGATAAAATAAGGATTTACCTCCTCCACATCTTCGTTTGAACAGGCACAGGAATCAGAACAGCCAAAACAGCATGAAAAATTCTTTTCTTACAGGATTTCCAAATTAGATGGAATAAGGAAGTAGCAGAAACCTTTCCAGAAGACTGAGATTTTCTATTCATTTCTACTGTAGAGGTTTTGATAAGTTTCAAGTAACATCTAAACTTCAGGGTGGGTATCCAAAGTGAAATTCTGAACTTCTGAGGTTTGCTCATCACTAGTTGGCAATATTCCACAGTATTGCTTCTACACTAGAAGCAGAAAGGAAAGGATTTATAGGCCTCAGTTCAAATAGGTAGTTTTGAAATTATAATAAATGTACTTTATATAAAGATTTGTATCTTTATTACTACCCAATCCAGCCCCCTTCCTCACTCCCCAGGGCACCAGGTGCACAGCGGGCACTGAAAGCACAGAAGAGACAATCTCTTTTTCTTGGTTCAGGTGCCCAGGGTCCCAGAAGCTGGGAGGAACAATTTTAGGGAAAATCCTGCTCAGCTTCTGCAGTCCTGGGATGGAGCATGCTCATTTGCTCAGTGGGGATAGTGAATTCTGAATGTGAATTCCGTGTGTACTGAGAATGTTCCGAACTGCGATTTCAGAGGCCTATAACTTGCCCACACTTGGGTGGATTTTCACAGGGATGACAAAAGGCACATCACTGCCATGAGGGAACCCCTTCTGCCAAATTACAAAAGTCTCTGCTCCCTGACTGTCTCAACTAAACAGTTGTAAGAATTTTTCAAACATGTCCAAAACAACATATTTGTTTCCAATCTTGTTCTGAGAAACAATTGAACCATTTCTGCTGAAGCTTTCAAAAAAATCCAGCCTTAGGCAGACACCTGACATGGAAGAATTTCAGCCCAAATGGTTATAGTTTGGCAAAGTTTCAATTTTATATTCTATTCTATTTTGTTAAATATACTATACTATACAATAACATAAAAGAGTCAAGTTGATAAAGTTGAAATGACATTTTCCAAAACAAAATTTGGGAATTCCTTCCTGTTCCATGGGAAATTTTGAATGTTTGTTCTGATTCAAAATGAAATTTCAGAATTTCCTGCAGAACAGGAATTCTAGTTTCTGACCAACTCTAATAAATATGATTAATTCCCCCACCATTCTACTACTTTTCTAAATAAAAATAATCCCCTACAGTGTAGGGACCTTCCTTCTAACCAACTGCTAATATACAGAAACATATTTTTATTAATTCCACTATTATGGAAGAAATTCTCTTGACCAGTGGATTCTATTTATTTGCAGCCTGCTACTGCTTCCTCTGAAGCCAATGGATTTTCCATGGGCTTCTGTGAAGGCAGGATCAGAGCTAACTGATATATACTGCAGCTCACAGCTTTACTGGGAAGTATTTATTTCTTAATCATGTATCTCTTAAATTAATTGTTTGGGATGATCAAAGGCTCAGCAGGTGGTGGGGATGATTTGGAAGCCACAAAATTGGTGTTATCTTTCTGATTGACATCCTATTAGTGTAGCATACATTTCCTGTTTGTCAGGAATGTAAAGTCTGAACATTCTGTAATAATATCTAATAATATTTTGGAAAGAAAAACCATTGGCTGACTATAATTTAACAAGCTGAAAAGTCTTTTGATTTCCTTCTGTCAGAGCTGAAACAGACGCCGAGCACATGTATCCCAACCTTTTCTGGAAGAAAACCTATCAACAAAGCAGCTGCTGCTGCCTATTACTGCTCCTGCCTTGATCCACAATCCTTCTCTCAGTGGTGCCCCTTTAAAACTATCAATTTAGTAAACAAATCAAACACAAACTAACCAAAAAAGAAAAATTCCCTAATTAAATAAAAAACCATCATTCCCCAGAATAGGCTTAGGACACAAACAGGTAGAGCTTGGTTCTAGGAATTGCTTCCCCTTACCTACCTCTAGCGGGACTGCCTCCCTTGGTTCTGGTTCAGGCTTCTATAGCACTTACTCAAACCCTTTTTCCCCCTTCAGTCATAGCAGACAAACCAACACACACTAACACAAGCTGAATTGTTGCTTCTGTGTAAAGCAGTTTCTCAGGCAGTTTCCTTCTCCTTGTTCACAAAAACTCCCATCATGGAACAGGATGTGGGTTTAAATGGTGCTGCCATTTTCCCTTTTTAAGTCAAATCATAATTAGGCTTTTAGCCTTGTTATATTTCACTTCCTACTCAGACAAATGTAGCAACCCTTTTTCTTTTCCTTCTCCTTTCTTCTAATCTGGGAGAAGACTGAGATATATTTGACGTATGAACTTGGTCAGAAATAAAAACATAAATAGAGACTGAAAGATGGTGGCCAGATATTCTCAGTAAAGAAGACAGAGAAAGCAAAACTAGAGAGCTCAACAAACCAGGTTGTTTTTAATCACTCACCTCTATGGGGAGAGGCCTTAGTGTAGTCTCAGCTTTGACCACAATCACACCTTCTTTCAAACATTTCTCCCTGAACAGAGAATTCCTCCTGTCAGAAGCAGGAATGAACAACTTCCAGACAACTTTTTCAAGGGTTCACCATCAGAGACACTGTAAAAACAAAAAGCAAATCACAGCGGAAACCTGTCTTTGGCCCACCCCAACAGAGTTAACTATATAGTACCCTTTTTCCAAATTTCAGTGGAAGGCAGAGGTCAAACTAACCTGATGAGGATTGACATCATCACAATGGACATTGAGGGTATAACACATTCAATGGCAAATATGCTGCCCAATGCTCAACTAGGAGGCAGGACTGGTGCACAGCAAAGGAATCATCCCTCTAAGTCATAGAGCAGCTCCCAGGCCACTTCACAGAGACTATTCCCATACTCTCAAAGGCCCCTTTTATGATCCCATCTCCACAAAAAGGAGGGCACGAAGATCTGTGCATTGGCAGGTTCCTCCAACCTGCTCCTACTCCTGCCTCAATCTGCTCATGCCAAGCTGGGGTATGTCCCTTGCCCAAATCTTCTTCCTACTCCTTTTGTTCGGGAGTACCGTGTGATTCTGGTGAGCTTTGTCTAGCACCACCTCACTTTTCCAGGTAGGGTGGCTAATTTTCTTTGCAGGTAGAGAAGCTAATTTTCTTTGTAGCTAGAGTTCTCAAGAACTCCCTTTAGTTATGATTTCCTAGGCTCATTATAGGGCAGATCTTGTGATGGATCAGATATAGTTCAGGATGCTCAGGAGGCTTAGCACCTTACAGGATTGGGTCACTATTGACCAGTATCCCTAAGAACAGTTGCTAAGACATCATGTGTAAGTTCTTACTGTAAAATTAAAGAAATTGTGGTGGTACCTTGTTGCCAAAAGGGTTAGAGTTGTGCTGTCTTGCCTCTGCTATTAATCATAGAATCATAGGACTGGACGGGACCTCAAGAGGTCATCTAGTCCAGTCATTTACACTCATGAAAGGACTAAGTAGTATCTAGACCATCCCTGACAGGTATTTGTCTAACCTGCTCTTAAACTCCTCAATGGAGATTCCACAACCTCCCTAGGCAATTTATTCCAGTGCTTAACCATTTTCTAAAGTCCAACCTAAACCACCCTTGCTGCAGTTTAAGCCTATTGCTGACTGTTACTTATCATCTTATTATCTTCTAGGTATTTGCAAACCGATTCCTTAATTATTTGCTCTATCATCTTTCCAGGTACTGAAGTTAAGTCTGTAATTCCAGGGGCTGTCCTTATTTCCCTTTTTTATAGATTTGCACTATATTTGCCCTTTTCCAGTCCTCTGGAAACTCTATCTTCTATGACTTTTCAAAGATAATCGCTAATGGCTCAGATATCTCCTCAGTCATCTCCTTGAGTGTTCTAGGATGTATTTCATCAGGTCCTGGTGACTTGAAGACATCTAACTTGTCTAAGTAATTCTTTCCCTAATTTAGCCTCTGAGCCTACCTCATTTTCATGGGTATTCACTATGATAATCATCCAATTGCTACTCACCTTTTTGCTGAAAACCAAAACAAAAAAGTCATTTAACAATCCTGCCATTTCCACATTTTCTGTTATTGTTTTCCGTTACTCATTGAATAATGTGCCTTGCCTGTCCTTGGTCTTCCTCTTGCTTGTAATTTGCAGAATGTTTTCTTGTTACCCTTTATGTCTCTAGCTAGTTTAATCTCATTTTGTGCCTTGGCCTTTTTATTTTTGTCTCTACATACTTGTGTTTTTGTTTATATTCATCCGTTGTAATTTTACCTAGTTTCCACTTTTTGTGGGACTCTTTTTTGAGTTTCAGATCATTGAAGATCTCCTGGTTAAGTCAGAATAATAATAAGCAGAACATAAAAGTTCTTCATCATTATGGTGGGTGGGTTGGGAGTAGGGGTAGAACATTGCCTACTGCCAGAAGTAACCAGCAGCCAGTGTCCTGCCTGTGCCAGAGCCATATCCTCTTCCCTCAATGGCATGACAGCTGTCCTCTCTAGCTGGATAGCTTCCTCAGCCTTGGACTCCACATTAATATTCTCAATGAATTCCTCGTGGGCATGGATGCTCCTCAGCCTAGTCACCTCCTCCTATGGCTCTGTCACCTGCTTCCTGAGAGATTCCACCAGCAGACACCTTTCACACTGGTTGGCTTTCTAAGAGTGGGAATGTAGGCCATGGTCTCTACAGATCCACACCAGGATCTGTGTAGAGGCATCCATGCCACTTTGGTCATTTGTGTTGACACTAGGTACTATAATTTACATTTCAAACCTATCACAAAAATAATGTCAACTTCCTTATAGATTTATTACCAGCCTCTTAAGCAGATGTCTAATTTTTTATAGTAGGTGCTGTTTTGATTTTAGCTAAATAAAATAAAGGCACTAAGAAATAATACTTTTCAAGCTTTCTGTTTATAACATAGGCGCTTGTAGATTGACACGGTTGATTATTTTGGAGTACACTTTTGTTGGAAGTTAATTTTATAAAAATAAAAATATTTCCTCCCCCACTTTCCTGGTTCCTTCTAATCAAATGTGGTTGTTGATGCATATGTTTACAAATACAGTGCAACATCAGTTGCAAAAAGCTTATCAGTCATTGCTCAACAGCAGCTTAGTCTCTGCTGCTAAAAAAAACAGCAACCCTGCTGTATGCTAATGCAAGGGTTAGAAATCAACTGTTTGTGGTTTTGAGTGTGTTTTACTTAACAGAGTAGGAATTAATGTGTTATTCATTGAAAATGTAATAAGCAGAGAATGCTCAAGAACAGATTCATATGAGAGAGAGCTCCAAATTAAGATACCAAGGCCTCTTTACATAACGTCAAAGATCAAGAGTGCAATAAAATGCCTGAAAAGCCCTGGTTCCGGCTGAGGGAGGGTTTCCTTGGCCACAGAAGATAGCCCCAGGCTGTGTTCCAAGAAGTCCTTTGCAACTCTTGGTGTGCAGGGTGTGCTGGGGGTTGGAGGCCTATGTCCGGATTGGGGCTGCACATAGCACTGTGAAGATTCCCATGCAGCACAGAAGCCTGCAGTAACTTAGACTTCCATGGGAGCAAACTCAAGCCCTGGCTTAAACTTGTTGAAGAGACAAATGTATACAAGCAGTAAGACATAAATGTGGCTGACACATGGATTTTGTTCTTTTTGTTTGAAGAGAATGTTTTTTATTAAAATATTTTTGTTGGGGTTTTTTTATAATGTTTTTATTGTGCAGCAACCCGCAGTGCCTCTATGGGGAGGCAGTTTATATGTTCAGACTTATTAGCAGTATTTATTATTCTTTCAAAAGGCCAGATTAGATCATTTGTATGCTACAGTTACAAACATATTACAAGCTCTCTTTTTCTAAGCTTTAGGAGAACAGAAGACAAATCCTCAGAGGTGATAAGCACCCGCAATAATAATATAAATATATGGGGCCACTGACGTCCCAATAATACATATTTGGGGGCAGATAGTTATTATTTATAATACGGTAGCACCTAAAAGCCCCAACTGAGATCCGGGTATCATTGCACTAGGCATTGTATAAACATCGCAAGACACAGAGCCTGTCTCCAAAAGCTTATTAAAATAGACAAGAAATACAATGGATGGGAGAATGGAAATTTCATATCCCAATTTTACAGATGGGTAACTGAGGCAGAAAGAGATTAAAAGACTTGCCCAAGGTCACTCAGGAAGCCGGTTGCTGAGCAGGGAACTAAATCCAGGTCTCCTGCATCCCCATTCAGGGGCTTAATCACAAGTCCATTTTGCTTCACCACATCAGCCCTTCTGTAGGTGTGCAATAAGGGGAAATGAGTTCTGGAGAGGGTTCAAGGAGTCCTCCCCTTTGTTCAGCCCACCTAAGGCCCTGGCACAATTGTAGTCCCTGTATTCAAGGAAAGGAAGAAACTGTTCTCTCTCTTCCACCTCGGGCATGCACATTGCCACAAAGGAGGCAGTAAGGATGAGGGGACATAGTCTTGCTCTCCAATCCCCGCTCGGCTGACTGGCCTATAGAATGGGACTGGCAAATAAGCTGAACCCCTTAAGTGATGTAACAGCAAAATTTCTCTCCCTGTATTCCAGGGATTTGGGGAGTGTCCTACCTCAAACAGAATTCTATCCCAACTTCCCCCAGCGAAGGTGCAGCTCTACACCACCCTTACTATGGATTGTACCTCCATGGACTAGTTGATCCCTTTAACTTCAGTAAGAGTTTCCAGGTCTCAGGGGCGCTCAGAATATGGACCATTATTATTGTTCTCTGTAAGTCTCACTGCTATATCATCTATTTCAGACATCACTTAAATGTACAGTACTGAATTTGAACCCTTGTCATTAACTGATCTAACTTATGACTTTTATGTTATCTGTAGCAGTGATCAAGAAGAGGCCACAATAAGAGTATGTCTTTTGTCCTAAACTCATTCAGTATTCATAGTGAATATAGTTACACAAAATAAAAAATGGTGGCTCCATATGGCCTGAAGCTCTAGACAGTAAGGAGCTCTCTGCTCTCATTTATTGGTTAAAAGAAGGAAAATGGCCACATTGCTGCTTTATCTGCTTAAGCTGGTTACCCAGAACTCCAGATCCATAGAAGATCCAGAGTGGAAGGAGCATTCTTCCTCCAATCTATTGGTAGACAGGGAAGCACAGACACAGAGAGCTTCATTAGCCCAAGCTATCTACCCAGAATTCCTCCAGTGACACTTTGGGAGTCACCATAATTGTACTCAAACACAGATTTGGTTGGGTGGTAGAACTGAGGACTGTTGAAGATGTAGAGGTGGCTATTCAATGAGGTGCAATGTAGAGAAGGTTCTTAGCTAAAGTTGCAAAAGACAGCAGTAAAGCTGAGTGAACTCTGGACAGGCCCCTCTTACCCAGCCAACAAATAAAACTGAAATTGCTATAGCTGGATTAGATGATAGAACCTCAGGCCAGGACCAGGGAGAAGTTTACAAGAATCTGGACGCAGGTCCGCACAAGTCACCTCATGACTCTGGGACTATGCTACCGACTGGCACCAAACAATGAGTGGTGTTTCTTGGATGGGGAAGCATGTGATAAGGGGGGATTTGCTTATTGGACGTTCGCACATATGCGGGG